GTCGTATCTCTCTCTCTCTCTCTCTCTCTCTCTCTCTCTCTCTCTCTCTCTCTCCATCTTCCCAAGTGCCCTCTCTTCCCAAGTGCCCTCTCTCTGCCTCAGCCTATTTCCCATCGAACCATTTCTTCCGAGTATTTAGGAATTTTTTTTTATTTAAGGTGATGTGGACACCTAATTTTGAAATTGGGAAAGTTTTTAGTTTTTTTGAACCCCGAGGACCACACTATTACATAGCACCCTTGAACCATAAAACACTATAGTTTATGATCCATATCCTATGATCCATACACTGTTTTAGTAATAAATCAAGTAAAGTAACAAAAATAGTTTATTTTTACTTGATTTTTGACCGGCAACATAACAAATGTGTTTAAAACACCTCGAAAGTAGAAAATTCCAATTTGGGCCTAATTTGGGTGGGTGATACCCATTTATGTGGGGAGACACAGAGTGTGTCACCCTGCCCAGATCAATCGAAGTTGATTTTTTTTCAGTTCCTAGCATGGTCCTAACTTAATGCAATGCTATCAGCCATATTTGGGCCAAATCCAGTGGATCTAGGTTGGACATACACTCAGTTTGGATGGGGAGACACACCCTAGTCGCCCAGACAAATCAACGGAAGGTGTCAATTTCCAAATCATTCCTGGCCTGATTCACTCAAAATTCAACAAATTTGGATGCTTTTGGGTTGTGTGTCACCAAAGTCTAGGTCTAGTCTAGGTCACACAGGGTGCGTCACCCAGCCGTTTGACCCCCAAAATTGGAATTTGAGTTAGCAGATCCAATGGTTTTTGATAGATATCCATTCTATGTGCTTTTCAGCTTATAAAAGTGCATTTGCACGACCATTTTAGGAGAGACCATTAGCTAAGAAAATTAGTGAGAGAAACCTCAGAAACAAACAACCCTAGTAAAACCTTAGGCCATCTGCCATCTTCAACCTCAAATACCTAGATCAGATCTAGAAAACTCTAGTTCAACCAAGCCAAGGCTTGGTCAAATTTTAAGAGAAACACTAAGGCCTCACGATGTAAACACAGTGGTCCTGATATAGGCAAGGCCTCGAAGTTTGGGGTGTTCCAGGCCAACTAGTCCAGCCAAGTAACTTTTGTTCTCCATGTTTTCATTTATTTATTAGATTTTAAGTACTTTTGTTTGCTTTATTTCAATATTTTGTGTATAGGATCAATGTTGGTTTTGCCGCTGATATGAGAGCAGATCTGTTCATTTCTGAATAGATCTGCCCTTAGATCGGAATTCGATTGATTCCGCTCTCTATTGAAATTAATAACTGAGTTTGTAGTGTTGAACAAGTGATCTTCAGTCAAAGATATGCTCTGATTTGCGCTGTAAACAGTTTAGCGCCCACAGTGGGGCATTTTGAGCTAGATCAGCGTAAGAAATACAACTTTTTCTTCACTGTTTTCTGCTGTTTTCTACTCATAAAACTTCAAGAACAACATTGTTCGGGTCTGGGATCTCGAAAACTTCGAGACCCCTGACTGCAGGAGGCGACATACAGTGTGTTGGTCTGTTTGCCTGGGGTGACACACCCTGTGTCTCCCCATCTGTCTAGGGTGACACACCTTATGTCTCCCCATTATTCTTGGGTGAGAAATCCTGTGTCTCCCAATTTCAAAGTCCTCGAAAAATTTCTTGGGGGCTACAATCCAGTTCCAAGACTTTTATCCCTGCTTCCCACCACTTTGGGGTTGAAAATAAAATTTTTAAAATAAAAAAAATTTTCTTTTTAAGAACATGATCAGTTTTAATCTGTGCATATTTTATTTTATTTTAATTTAATTTATTTCATCTGCATCCATGATTTCCTTGCTTTTCACATGTTCAGATTAACCTTGCATAGAAAATAAAATACATATGAAAAAAAAATCGAAGGTTGCCTACACCCTCCTCTGACTTTGTCCTGATCAAGTCACCCTCGACCCGACCCGCACCCAACTAGGCGCTGACTGTACCCTGTTTTCACCACCTTTCTAGGGGTTACCTACCCTTGCGCCTCTAATGTGCTCATGACCGATTAGTTTCTATTCGAGAGCACACCCTAGTTGGCACGAGTGTGCCAAGTATTCACATTCTTTTATTTTCATTTTCACTTAATTTTGTTCTTTGTTTGATTTGCTTGGTTGCCACATCCTGCACCCACTACACTTGTGTGCTTTCATACACACTATTTACACACAATGGACTGAAAAGGCCCAAAATACCACAAAATTTTCGAAAACTCCTAAAATCTGGCGTTAAAGTCATGAGGTGCACTTAGCCTTGAGAGCTGGGGCAGTTAGGTTTCGCGTAACCTTAACTGTGAGCGCCCCCTCCGCAGTCCTCAGCCTCAAAGCAACTCCACACATAGTAGGACTTGATTGATTCCTTTAACAGGTGGCCAGGACCTACGTGGGGACCTACTTAGCCTAGTTGCATTTCAATAGTTAGGAACCCACTCGAATCTAGCCTACCCATAGTTTAGAGCAAAAATTTCGAATGAATTGATGTTCTTTATTTAGGATTGTCAGTCTTAGATCTCAGTTGACGTGTGAACCTGGTCTGAACTCACTTCTTTTGTGTCCAAATTCAGGCTTGTGCTCAGCCCAGCCCAGGTTCACACCCAGGTCCGGACCTAGGCCCCCTTTTTGTTCGAGCTTAGGCTCGTTCCTAACCCAACCTAGATCTTAGTTCAGGTCCACACCTAGTCTGAACTCAATCCTTTTGGGTTCGAGTCCAGGCTCACCCCCAGCTGAGCCTAGCTTCGAACCAAGTTCAAGCCTAACCCCCCCTTTTAGTCCGAGCCAAGGCTTGTGCCCAATCCAACCTAGATCTCAGTCCAAGTCCACACCTAGTCTGAACTCAATCTTTATGGGTCTAAGTCTAGGTTTGTGTGCAGCCTAGCCCAAGTTCGAACCAGGTTCACACCCAAGTCTAGGCCCCCTCTCGGTTCGAGTTAAGACTTGTACCCATCTAGTCTAGGTCTTAGCCTGGGTCTAAATTTAGAGTTGTCCCTTAAACTAGATTACGTTCACCTAGTCCAAAACCCATCAAGTTCAGCAAGGTTCATCCAGTCTAGGTCTAGATTTAGAATTGTCCTTAAAACTAGATTAGATTAACTTTAGTTCAGGGTCCAAACCGTAACCTATCAATTCTAGTGAGACCCAAATCTAGGTTAGGCCCCAAGTCTAGATTCAAGATCAATTTAGAACGAATCACCATGTCGGTAACCCTAGACGACCATGATGATTGTTTAACTCCTGACTTTAAACCCAATTTGCTCAATCCTAGGGACCAGCTTGCTGCATTCCCATGAGATTATAGCAATAACCCGAATCCATCCGTTGTCCAACGCCCAAGTCTCCAACTAGAAGCAAAATCTCGAGGATCATTTCGACATCCTAAAATTTGTGTAGCCCAAAAAGCTAGTACAGCCGAAAGACCCTTAAACAATCAAGGGGGTCGAGCCGGGGTCGTTCTGCAAGGACTCTTGGGTACTCAAAGTGGGAGTCAAGTAAGGGAAAAGGTTTACGCACTATTAATGTTCATTTCCATAATTCAAATCATGGTAACTTTGATGCACAACAGCCTCGAAACCCCAATAATCAGGTTCCACCTAGGTTTAGGGGATCCAACCCAACATCAAGCAACCATAACACAACTCATGATAACCTTAATGCAATAGGAAATGGAGGCCTTGACCTGAACCAACCCCTTGGAGACCTAGGTGTTAAAGCAGCCCTCCAAAGTCTAGTTTACCGAGGTTATACTAATCATGGCCCATCACATGGGTCAGTTCCAAACCAGGTTAGTGCTATAGAACAACCCCGAGGACAACTGAGTCAACCTGTTCTTCAATCGGTTCCATTTGTGTGTTAGGTTCAACAAATTGTTCAACCTTCGCAGCCTTGTGGCGACATCAATGGGACAATATTTTCCTCAAGCACAAGCATATCAAGCCACCCCGGTGACTGCAGCATATCCACCTCTGGTCCATGCAACCTAACATATACCCCAAGCTCTGACTCATCAGTCCACACTTGGGAACCTGCCAACTGGTGGGCTTACTGTCATACCGACTACCCAATACGAAGGCACCATGAAAGTAATGCAAGACATGCTTGTGAGAATGGGCATTCATGAGATTCTACCCCCGAAGGCTTATTTTAAAGAGATCCTCGATGGCATGGAAGACATTATGTAATAAATTCAATGGGACGAGCAATCCAGACACCCATGTTAATGCAGACCTCCTCTCTGTTTTGGCTTTGCGAGATATGCCAAATCAATTGAATGCCATATTTT